TTAAATAGTTCTTTAATTATATAAACTTAAATAGTTGAGAATTATTCAACGGTCTGCTCTATGATTTAGAAAACATATCATCTACGACAAAGGACTAAAAAGATACATCACCTAACATAAAAATAGACTAAAGAAACTAGAGTACATTCAAAATTTTTCCAATTCAAACCATAAAATCTGAGGCAAAAATATCCATTTCTGCCAACATAGAAATGGCACCCTAATTGTTCTTTTCAAACTTGAAACCCTAGCTAGTAGTGCAGAAACCAGACTCATGCAGTTTGCTCAACCGGACCATTGGATCTAAAACCTTGACCACGACCCCTGGCCCTTCCCCGTCCACGTCCACGACCTGCAGGCAGTTTAGGCAACAATGATATTGGAATTTAAGTCAAAAAAAGAGAGCAACTAGATTTTGATTTACTAAATTTTCTAATAGGAAAATCAGTTTTAGATCAGAAAGAAAGGAAATAAAAAAATGATTGTAAGCTTTCCTCTTCACTGCCCGTCTGAGAAATCGATAGATTAATTACAACATGGTATAAAAATAAAAGCAGAAACTGTATTTATCAAAAGCCAAATTAATCTTTTCAAAGAGACAATAAATGGAAAAGGAGCATTAAATTAGGGCATTTCTGGTATTTCAACAGATAAAAAACACATTAGAAATATGTAGAGACTACACTTTTTCTAATCAAGTTTTCTCCAGATATATCCCAACAGTTATGCATGTATGATTTCTGACAGAAATGTTTGGGTGTAACTTTTTGTTGGTTAAATTATGTTATTGAGATACTATGAATGATTAAACAAATTATTGCAACTTGAGCAAGTATTTTGTTGCAACTTTAATTTTAACATAAACTATACGCACCAACGTTACAATAAAATAAAGGTCTAACAGCAGCAAGTAATTATGGAATAAGTCATCAAAATCCATAATGTATGATTAAGTAAATAGCGGTAAGTGTGTGAATTCACTTTGGTTTGCATGGTAAAAAAGAGAAACATACCACGGCCCTGGCCCTGGCCCTGACTAGGGATTGGTCCTAATGCACCATTACCATTGTAATATCCTGAGTCCCGTTGCATATTCCCACCACCATACCCCCTCCCACGCCCACGGAAACTACGGCTCCTTCCACGACCCCTACCACGACCTCCATATCCACGCCCACCATCCCAACCTCCATTCCTATGCTCTGCTACACCATTGTTATATCCTGCATACACAAATAAACTACAGTCATTGCTGCTTCACACATGCCCTCATAAGTTATCAAAAGAAGCCCATTATTGATAATACTGAGCAGCTACTCATAATCACCATAGCTACCCTCATCATCAAAGATTTCCTCTGAACCTTTTCACCATCACCAACAATTCAAGTGTGCCAAGTACTTCAACATCATTCTAACCAAAAAAATTAAGCATCTTTTTTTCACCCAAAACCCAAGTATCTAGAAATATAGGCCATGCTGTGTGAATTGTGTTAGCATCCCTTCTATAGAGGGCAATCTGCTTTTCAACATTTTCTACAGAAATTCACTATTTAGACCATAATCCTTCCCATAAGCGAAGGATTACAAGACCAAACTTTGTCATCAATTTAGTGAAGCAAATTCTGGAACATTAATGTAAGTTTCAAAAAACAATAAGCAATTGAGATGCTAACATAGGAACATTTTCACCTATTACTGATAAATAATGGGTTTAGAGTACACTGAAATTTAAATGAATTCCTTCGTCAGAACACAGAACAGGATATGATGATTGACCATAACTATGTTCTTTCCTCGATCACCATGTTCATTACCTGAATGTCAAGAGGTCTCTAAAATGCATGAAATGGGAGTATAATTATCAATTTGTGAAAAACACAATGAAATGCAAAATGAACAACCATTACATTGTTGGCTCACCTCCATCATTCTCCTCAAACTCGGTTGATGGCTTCACTTGATCTGCTGGAATTGGTGGTTGATATCTGAGATTTTAGAAACATCAGTCTAAGGAATGAAAATCATTTATAAAACTCAAGAATAAAACGCAAAAAAATCATGACAATAAAAAAAAATAATGTGGAAAAGAAAAAATGCCAAAGATTAAAAGAAGAGAACATTGAAAAAGAAAAGCCAAAGCTAAATTCTTGTAGAAGTTTAGGCAAAAGTTCAATACGAAAAAGAAAACCTTCTATCTTTTTACATTGTATTGAATAACTCAAAATCCAATCCTTAAATCCTCTAAGTGGCTGGCAGAAAAAGATAAAACTTTCGTCGTGACATTCAACAAAACTTTCCCAATAACCATATCACAGTTTCCAGATACAATTCTCACATTTCTCATCAAAAAAAGCAGATCTATCATAGAATCATGATTCTAGCTAATCCTTCCAACTGAGGTAAGGAGAACATATTTCTGATAAACCAATTCAAACACCAATAACCAAACAAACTATTAGACAAGCCCTCAAATTAGAAATATTAAAATTAATTTTGAGATTGGATAAGATGGCATATTGCATCTGCAGATTTGCCAAAAGAATTGCACCAAACATTTCCCAAATAAAGAGGAAAATATGCAAATTTTTAACAATATGCAACGTGCTCAACCTAAATATTATAGAAGCCAACTGAAACAAAAGTTTACAGGACAAACTATTTATGCTGCGTGCTAATGTGAAAAGGCAATATGAAAAATTGAAAGCTTTTAAGATATAGATACTAGTTGTCACATACCCAATGGACGATGCATCCAACTCTTTTTTAGACAAAGTAATTATGATTATTGAAACATGGCGAGTGGTCTCTAGGCTGGACAAGTAAATCAAGCATCAGAAATTAAATACTTAATGGCAAGAATATTAATGCATAAACTAGCAAAAGAAAAATGAAATTTTGGTCTCACGGAAGAAGGCCTTCTTCTAGTGGTTCCCATGTGTCAGTTATGTCAATTGATCCAGTTGACGTGTTTTGATGAAGACCAAAAATCCTTCTCTGAAAAGTGGTAACACATTTGTTAAAATGTATAAAAAGGGAATTACAAACCTAAGAGAAAGTCTACATTACACACATGCAGCATATTGTAACTGGAAACTGGTAGAATAAAAGGGAGATATTTTATACATTTACATTTAGCAGAATGAATATTGGAAAACTGCAATAACTGGAACAAGGCATCATTACAATAACAAATTTACCCTAGTAAATTATCTAGTCAAAATAAAAATATAAAAAATAAAAAAATAAACTACCTTGATTAGTTCAGCAATCATCACAGTCTTATTAATAGCTCTACCTGTAGCTTTGAGGACAATCTCATGGGCACCTTTCTCCTACAAAAGTCATACATAAGACCAAAGCATTAATATTGAAATTGACAAAATATTTTAATGTCAGTATAGTGGCTTTTCCTGGCCACAACTAATCTAATACAAGGTTGTACTTCCCCTGAAAGAAAATATAACAAAATGAAAACTAAAACCACAAGGGTAAATTAGCAATTTAGACAGATACATAGATAAAAACATGCCAAAATGGACTTTCTCAGATATTATTCAGATACAGGAGAAAGCCCTTCTTGCCAGGGCTCTATTGAGTCACCACTCAACCGTTCCTTGCATTTTTTTTTTTTTCCTCCGTTTACCAAACATTACATCCAAGTGCAAAAGTACAAACATTAACAATGTTGAAACAGAGAAGAAAGAGATAAAAAGGAGAATAACAACCTGAAGCAGAGAAATTGCATAGGAGATATAGTTTCTCATCCTTCCCTGAGCTGTAATCCTCAACTCATTCTCATTTATGGGTGTCTCTGTCTTCGGCTTCTCTACCTTCTGATACCGATCCATATCTGCCACACCTAAAAAAAAAAAAAAACGTATAACATAAAACAAAGAACAACCAAGCATAGTCGCGCTTTTCTCAGCAGCCAAACACAAGTCGAGATTCAACTATTCCATCTACTCATCTCGTTAATTCGAGATACCACAAAATAATAATAATAATAATAATAAAATAAATCACAGTTTGGAAGCCAAACAGAACGAGAACAAGCATTCTCCGCTGGTTTTTCATTTTCTCGGCAACCAAACAAACTATTCCATTCTCTCAATTCATCAAGAAAAGAAATGAAAAACAGATGAACAAGAATCAGAGATCTGGAACAAGGTTGGGGAGATTCGAAGCAGTACCAGTCGAAAGGGGCTTGGGATGGTAGGGCGGGCGTGTCCTTGAGCTGTTTGTTGGAGGCGAAGGCCGTGGTGGTGGCTCTCTGCTTTGTGTTGTGGTATTTATTGGCGGGTTAGGGTTTACGAGGGGGTGGGGTGGGGGAGGGGTCTTGAGCTTGGAAGCCTTCTATCCACGGAGATATCCACTGACATGGAGCCACGTCGTCTTGTGGGTCCCTTAAGGTTCGCCAATCAGTTTAAAACTCTTGTATATCAGAAAAATCTGAACCGTTGATTTCGTACCTGATGCGTGATGATAAATAACGAAAAGTTCTGTTAATTGTTCTAAATAGGTTAGGTTAGGGGTATTCTACTTACTAGATATGTACCATAATGAAATGCGACCTAACTCAATTATAAGTTAATTAAAATTTAATATAATTATTAGATATAAAAAATTTAATATAATTATAGTTGTAAGTTTTTTAATTTTTTAAAATAATAAAAATATATAAAAAGTAAAAAATATTGTCGAGTGAAACTCTATTAACATTCTATTTACCATAAATAAAAAATGTTAATGTTAATGTCAAAAATTAAAATTGCACTGTAATATAAATATTGCATTCAATTTTTAACTAAATAATTAATAAATACTTACAAGGAAAATCTTTAAAGAAAATATCTTTTCATAATATAAGTTCTTCTTTTAAGTTTAGTTAAAAGTTAGAAGATAATTTTGTAAACAAAAAAAAAAATTATGTAGAAGAAGAGTATGTTTCTGGTGAATTGTGGAACAACTAGAGCTACCACACGAGGATTAAAAACTTTAGCCTAGGCTTAGAGCAACTTAGCAACAACTAAAGGTGTAAAATAAACATAGATTTGACTAGATTATGTTAAAATAAACACTGATTTGACTCGATTAAGTACTAATTAGGAATTGTAAGGAAAAAGAAAAAGAAAAAAAACTAGAGAGTACCAATGCGACATGTTAAAGAATAATAAATCATCTTTTACGGATTGGTCGTTGCTGCACAGCCTTATTACAATTAGTGTAATAATTGTGTTTGTTTTAATTAATTTATTGTTTTTTATTAAATAATTAGTTATAATATTTAAAAATATTAATTTATTAAATAATAAATATTAATTATTTTATCAATTAATAATTATAATTATTAATTATTTTTAATAGTCAATTAATTGTTTTGTGTGATCTTAAAAGTGTGACCTTAAAAAAAAAAGAAAAAAAGTCTGGCAAAAACTCTGCCCCTCATTAATTTTTTCTGAAGGCAATTAATTTGTACTTTCTGTTGCTGAAAAATGTGAGAATAATGCAATTTTAGAATCCCAGATGGTATTTCTTTCAACTGAAAGGCATGGTAATGCAGAGAATATCTTTAAGATGGATGAGGTCTTGATTGCCAGTCTTTCTGGTCAAGTAACCAATTATTTATTAGCTAACATTTTCCAACTTGTTTTATGGGTTATTAGGATATATTTTTATTTTTTTTAAAATATAATTAAAGTTTTATTATTAAAATTAAATAATAAAAGTGAAGGGGTAAAAAAGGAGCTTTGTTAGTGGAGTTGGAAAGGTATGCTAAGTAGAAGATTATAATGACTAAAAAATGTATCAATTTAAAGAGTAAGTGAAGGGCAAATGAGGTATTCAATTTTGATGGGTTATTACAAGACAAAAAAAAGACTACAACTTATCAACGAGGGATTGGATCAAGTGGTAAGTGGATTGTTTCAGTTTAAGCAAGATCTCGAGTTCGAGTCTTTGCATACGCAGCAGCTTTTGTTGGAAGACTCACCCACCATTTTTAGGTGCGCGACCTGGGTCGGGTCTGGATTAGTGAGACTGAGAACGAAACCCCGGATACGGGCGGGAAACCAAAAAAAAAAAAAAAAGAAGACTACAACTTTAGTAGAACTTGTGACTCATGAGAGGATAAAAACGAGAAAAATATGAAGAGAAGGTGAATGATGAGAGAGATAGGAAGAATGGAGGGCTCTAAATTTTTTTATTTTTAAATTTAGATCTTACCCGTAATTTTATTAATTTATATTTTTTAAACAATAATTATAATATTTAAAAATATTTATTTATAAATTTAATTTAATTTATTAAATAATAAAAATTAATTATTTTATTAATTATTAATTATTTTCAATAGTCAAATAAAAATAAAAATTTAATAATTTTAGTGAGTTTAACAAAACAAACAAAAAATGATACTAATGACCTAAATAATTCACCGATTGTCTCATTCTGTTGAAAATAAAAAGATTCTGAATTCAAATTACATGACATGTGAATAAAGTGAAATAAAAAAAATGAAATAGTTGCTTCCCGTTGTACAACAAGAAAAAAATGATAGTTATATCCATAGCCTTTAAGACATGTTTCCTATCTTTTTGGCTTAACAAAAATGCTACTACCTAATAAATAAGGGAAGTTTAAAAAGGAAAAAGAAAATCACATATAGAATTATAGTATATTTTTCCAATGTAGTCTTAAAATTTCTAATTATAAATTTCACGGCCTTCGATTGGTGAGTGCCACCTTCCTTTCTATTTATATTATTATTTCACTACCTTCCTTTAGAAGTTTTTCCTTTTTATTTTTTTGGATGAAAGCTTTCTTTAGAAGTTTCGATTGGTGAGTGTCAACGTCGTTTTTATTTATGTTATTTTTTCGACATCTTCCTATGGAAGTA